TGGCTTACGGCCAAAATTAGAAAAGCTATAGATAATAAGAAAAGAGCTTTTATTAAATATAAAAATGAAGGAATGCTATCATCGTTTAAACATTACAAAGAATATAACAGAATATGCAAAAAGGAAATCAAGGCCACAAAAATTTAAAAGGAACAACAGATTGCAAAAGATAGCAGGACCAACCCCCAAAAATTATTTAAATATATTAATAGTAAAAAGGTCCGGTCTGAGCATGTAGGCCCTTTACAAAATAATCTAGAGTGGGTGACTGGGGACAAAGAGAAGGCAAATTTATTAAATACCTTCTTCAGTTCTGTGTATACCAAGGACCGCGGGGCAGCTCTTGTCCATAATGGGCACGTTGTTGACACAGCCCCAGATGATCCACATTGGCTTACAATTGATATGATCCAAAAATATTTAGACAGAATAAAGGTGAATAAAGCACCTGGACCGGATGGCATACACCCACGGGTCCTTAAAGAATTGAGCTCTGGTATTTCAACGCCATTGTTTCTAATTTTTAGGGACTCTTTAATGACTGGCATAGTACCATTGGATTGGTGTAAGGCCAATGTGGTGCCAATATTTAAAAATCTTTACCAAGTAATTATAGACCTGTTAGTTTAACTTCTATAGTTGGGAAGCTACTAGAGAGTTTAATAAAAGACCACATAGATGAGTTCTTGCTGGAAAAAAATATTTTAAGCAACAGACAGCATGGATTCATGAAAGACAGAAGTTGTCAAACAAATCTGATTTCTTTTTATGAGGAGGTGAGCAAAACCTTGGACAGAGGGGTGGCGGTGGACGTGGTATACTTGGATTTTGCAAAAGCGTTTGACACAGTTCCCCACACACGGCTAATGTGTAAGGTAAAGTCTACAGGCTTGGAAAAATCCATATGTAAATGGATAGAAAACTGATCGTATTCAGAGAGTAGTGGTTAATGATTCACACTCTGAATGGTCTAGGGTTGTCAGTGGTGTACCCCACGGTGCATCATATATACTGGGGGGGTACAACTGGGGGAATCAATGGTGGAGTAGGATCTGGGAGTTCTGGTAGATCACAAGCTTAATAATGGCATGCAATGCCAAGCTGCGGTTTATAAAGCGAGCAAAAATCCTTTCTTGTATTAAAAGAGGTATAGACTCCAGAGAGAGAGATATCATATTACCCCGGTACAAATCATTAGTAAGACCTCATGTGAAATATGCAGCTCAGTTTCGGGCACCAATTCACAAAAACAACATTGGGGAACTGGAGAAAGTACAGAGAAGAGCAACCAAACTGATAAGAAGCATGGAGGAGATCAGCTATGAGGAAAGAATTTATTCTCTCTTGAGAAGAGGAGATTAAGGGGGGATGTGATCAACATGTATAAATACATCAGTGGTTCATATAGTGAACTTGGTGTAGAGTTATTCACCCTGAGGTGAGGACAAGGGGGCACTCTTTACATCTGGAGGAAAAGAAATGTAATCTCCAAACATAGAAAGGTTTCTTTCTCAGTGAAAGCTGTGAAAATGTGGAATAGACTCCCTCAAGAGTTGGTTCTGGCCAGCTCAGTGGATTGTTTTAAAAAAGGCCTGGATTCTTTCTTGGAAACACAGAATATAACTGGATACTAACATTTATAGGTAAAGTTGATCCAGTGAATATCCGATTGCCTCTCGGGGGATCAGGGAGGAATTTTTTCCCCTGCAGGAGCAAATTGGATCATGCTTTGCTGGGGTTTTTTTGCCTTCCTTTTATCAACTGTGAGTATAGGATTATAACTTTCTTTTTTTTTAATGGTTGATGGATGGACTTTTGTAATTATTTTGTTTGTAAATATATATGTGCACGGGGATAGCCATATGCAGGCTCTGCTTCCTGATTTGAATTGTTACAATATGGTCTTGTTTTACTGCTCCTTCTCACAGTGCTAAGTTTCACCTGTAAGGGCGAGGTGTTATTGCAACAGTTTCAAGAGAGACAAAGTAACTGCATAAAGCCACTGAAATGTCCCTAGGCCTCTTTCACACAGGGCAGATGCCCTTTGTTCAGCAGATCTGTCTGCTGACCTCCTGTTGAGCAGAGCAGAGAAGGCAGATGACAGGTCCCTGTCCACTTAGTTTATACAGAGAGCATATGGACACAGCCTGCTCTGCAATAAGGGCAGTTGGGTATATACAAACCAGCTGTCTGTTTACACCCAACTGTCCTCTAACCTGATCTGCCTAGGTAGAGAGGAACAGATGCCCTTCTGCTTTTTTTTTTTTAGAAGACTGGATCAGATTGGAGGCAGGCAGGTATAAATGGTCACAAGTCTGTTTACACCAGCATGTTCAAAGAGATACATGGTCTATCTGATCAAGTCCACCTGAAAAACTGACAGGCGGATCTGACTGGATCACTCCTGTGAAAGGGGCTGTATCGTATAATCCATACAGCACTGAGAATTTATTTTATTATATATTATGGGAAAATGCTTACAGGTAAACAAGTGACCCTGCCAATATATAAGAAGACATGTCTCCTTTTAAGAGCTGTTTTTTGGTTTACGCCCTGTTGTGATAACAGCCTTACTTTTGTTGTCTCCTGTTGTAGTCAGCCTCAGAGGGATGGTGGTGAGCATCTACAAATCGGTTCAGGTTTCAGCCATGCCACATGCAGATTTAATGCATTTTTAGCATCAAATAAACATAGACACCATAGCGAGCATCCAAAAACTGTATACTGTTTCCACAGGACAAAAAACATAAAGCAAAATACATCTTAGCTTTGCTGGAGCCTCGCAGTAGTGAGCTGTGGTTTGGTCATGGGTGTATCCGTCATTTTGGGTGAGCCAAAGCCTAACAATGAATGAACAGACACCATACTGCTACTGTAACAGACCTGGCACTGCCTGCCCCTGTTGGATTCATCTGGTGTGATTTTCAGGCCTCACCTCTGAAGTCATTGGTACACCAGTTTAGAGTGTAATGTGCACTATGTAATTATATGCAGCCAGTAAATACAAAAAGGATACAATTCACAGCTGTAACAGAAAATACAGAAAGGAGTAATGAAAATGAAAAGTATTGAAGGGTGAAAAGTAGACTTTTATATTACAGAAACAGCTACTACATTGCCCTATGGATTGGTGTTTATAGACTAAGAAAACATCATGTCTCCCGTGAGTGAACAATAACAGAAGGATATACTTTGATGTAACAATGATTCTGGAAAGTTGAAAGGTTCACCTTTACGTGAACCATCTCTTGACCTGAAATAATGTTTCGATTTCAAGTATTCCATAAGCTCTAAGGACCACAATTTTGTAGGGTCGAGGGGCATCTTTTATTCCTTCTAAGAATGTGCTTCAGCACTGGGTCCATTCAGCAGAAAAATGGCTATAGACTTTTCTTATTCTGCATTTAATGAAACACTATAATAACACTTTTAAACATGATATCATAAGGGACTTGCAGAGTTTATTGACCATAAAGAAAATTGTCTCAGCAGGTCGCTGTAGAGTGAAGCAATGACCCAGATCATGACAAAACAGGCAGTGTAGTGTTAAGACTGCTCAATTCAGCTCACTCGGGGGAATCACAGCTGAACTATCAAACACTTCAGAACAAAAATATTGCAATGAAACCTTTATTGTCACAATGACACCGGTCTGTTGCTTCATTCGGTATGAAGGAGGTGCACACTGCTTGCAGCTGTGCCAAAATTTGACTCCTAGCTAGGTCAGTGCAGTGTGCTGGGATAGCAGTAGCTTCTGGATATCAAAGGGCATGTTAAGCTGAAGAGCTAGTACACACTTCTGCTTTTATTAGGCATGACATCATGTGTTTATGATTTTCCCTGGCTGCCCTCATGTCATAAAAGTGATAGCTGCATGGCCTAAACACTGGCTGACTTAATGCAAGCATTAGATGCACTTTGCATACAGCACCAATGTAAATGCAGCCTTAAAGTGACCTTGGTCAGGCTATAGACATCCAATATGGTAAACTCAAAAGACAACTGTGTGTGCAACCCCACTTGTAATCCTGTGTATGAGAAAGCCAGCCAGCTCTAAACAAGTGTTTCAAACCTAAGATACAAAAAAATACCTAAAAAAAAGTGCGACTCTGTATCAAAACTGTGTATATGTGAAATTCTCAATAGAAATATTAACAATAACATATCAATGGAAAAATGAATATTCTATATATCAAATGAATGTCGCAGGTGTGGAAAAACAGATACATGCACCAAATGAGGAAGTCCCAAGTGTAAAAAATTATTGAAAAGAAAGTCCATGTAATCTTCTTTTTGCCTTTTTGTCATTTTTTCCATTATTATGTTAGGTATACCAATGCTGTATTTTTCTTCTGTTAATGTATGTCTTTAAAGCACCTTACACACCTTGGATTGATATGTTATTGCTAATTTTTCTATTAAAGATTGCAGATATACACACACGTTTGAAACAGCACTGCACTTTAAGGTCCTTTTTGGTATAGACATTCAACACTGAAGAGCAGGTGTCCTCAAACTTTTTAAACAGGGGGCCAGTTCACTGTCCCTCAGACCGTTGGAGGGCCGGACTATAGTTTAAAAAAAAAAAACTATGAACAAATGCAGACACAGTACAGGAGATGACCAGAGACTGCGGACATAGTACATGAGATGACCAGAGACTGTGGACACAGTACAGGAGATGACCAGAGACAGCGGACACAGTACAGGAGATGACCAAAGACTGTGGACAGTACAGGAGATGACCAGAGACTGCGGACACAGTACAGGGGATGACCAGAGACTGCGGACACAGTACAGGGGATGACCAGAGACTGCGGACATAGTACAGGGATGACCAGAGACTGCAGACATAGTACAGGAGATGACCAGAAGACTGCGGACACAGTACAGGAGATGACCAAAGACTGTGGACATAGTACAGGAGATGACCAGAGACTGCGGACACAGTACAGGAGATGACCAGAGACTGCGGACATAGTACAGGAGATGACCAGAGACTGCAGACACAGTACAGGAGATGACCAGAGACTTCGGACATAGTACAGGAGATGACCTGAGACTGCGGACACAGTACAGGGGATGACCAGAGACTGCGGACATAGTACAGGAGATGACCAGAGACTGCGGACATAGTACAGGAGATGACCAGAGACTGCGGACATACTACATGAGATGACCAGAGACTGCGGACATACAACGGCGGCGGGAATACTGGGTCGGCCACTCCATAAGATACACAGACATTTCCCCCCAAGTGTGTCTTATGGAGCGAAATATACAGTAAATGCAGGACACCTTGTTGGGTCAAATCTGTGTACAATGTAAAGAGAGAGGGGGGGGGAGAGAGAGGAGGGGGGGGAGAGAGAGAGGAGGGGGGGGATAGAGAGAGGGGAAGGGAGAAAGAGAAAGAGGAGAGAGAGAGGAGGGGGAGGGGGGGGGGGGGAAGGGAGAAAGAGAAAGAGAGGAGGGGGGAGAGGGAGAGAGAGAGGGGGGGAGATGGGGGAGAGAGAGAGGAGGGGGTGAGAGGAGGGGGAAGAGAGGAGGGGGGAGAGAGAGAGAGGGGGGGGGAGAGGAGGGGGGGATGGGGAGAGAGAGAGGAGGGGGGAGTGAGAGGGGGGGGGAGGGGGGGAGGGGGGGGGGAGAGAGAGGAGGGGGGAGAAGGGGGGGGGGAGAGAGGAGGGGAGAGAGAGAGGGGGGGGGGGAGAGAGGGGGGGGAGGGAGAGAGGAGAGAGGGGGGAAAGGGAGAGGGAGGAGATCAATCATCTATTGCACTTATCTAGGGTCCGTGGCCATGATACCCGACATGCAGCGATGGAGTCTCCTCTCTTGCTCCCCCTCTTCATGGTCAGCTCTAGGCTCCGCCCTCCAGCCATGACGGTTGCATGCACTGATTAGAATAGATGGCCGGCTGGCTGCATAGAAGCCAGGTGAGTGGTGCTCGTTCATAAGCCGAGCCCACCTTCCCCTGTTCTAGAATTGCTGATCCCGCCCTCCTGCCTCCTGCCCGAGCCCTGCCGAGCTCTCCCGTCCTGCCAAACCCTAGTCCCTTGCCTTGCGGCAGATACGCCCCTGCCCGGCGGTCCGGAAAAATGTCCTCGGCGGGCCGCATGTTTGAGGACCCCTGCTGTAGAGCAATTCATTCTCACAGTTCACAGCAGAAGCACTCAAGTACTCCTTATAGCAGATAGTCTAGTCAGTAAAAAATATATAGATACAGTGGTTGTCTTACCAAAAGATACTGTATATATCTAAATCAAATGTATATAGGGTTGGGCATTATTATTATTATACAGGATTTATATATTTATATAGCGTCAACAGTTTTCACAACGCTTTACAATATAAGGGAGACAGTACAATTACTATACATTTCAGTACAGAAGGAATAGGAGGGACCTGCTCATGGAGCTTACAATCTAAAGGAAGGGGGAGGTGGTACAAAACATGATAGCTGTAGGCCATGTTCTGATGGAGGTGGTTCAAGTACTGTTCTTAGGTAGAGGTGGGGTAGGCTTCCCTGAATAAATCAAAAAAAAATCACCTAAAGGCTGACAGGGTGGGGGCTGATTGGACATTGCGCGGTAGGGAGTTCCAGAGGATGGGAGAGACTCTTGAGAAGTCATGGAGGCAAGCGTGGGAGAAAGTGACGAGGGAGCTAGAGAGCAAGATGTCTTGGGAGGAGCGGAGCAGGCGATTTGGACGATATCTGCAGATGAGGTTGGTGATGTATCTAGGGGCAGTGTTGTAGATGGCTTTGTATGCTGTGGTTAGTATTTTTGTACGTTAGGTTAGTGGAAGCCAATGAAGGGATTGGCAGACAGGGGCAACAGTCACTGATTGGTTGGTAAAGTGTATGAGTCTAGCAGCAGCATTCATAATAGACTGAAGGGGGGATAACCTGTGTTGTTTTGTGGTGTCAATGGTCAGAAAGGGGAGGATTTTGAAAATGTTCTGGAAATTGAGGTGGCAGGATTTAGCCAGTGATTGGATGTGGGGCCCATAGGAGAGCTCAGAGTCTAGGATTACACCTAACACCCTGGCACGAGGGGAAGGACCAATGGTTGTGCTGTTGATCTTAATGGTAAAGTCATGAGTGGGGGATCGGGGAGGAGGAAATATTACAAGTGTGGTTTTAGAAAGATTCAGTTTAAGGTAGTGGTGTGACATCCATGCTGATATGTCACTTAGTAGATTTGTGATACATGAGGAGATTGAGGGGGTGAGCTGGGGCAGCTATTATTTTCTATTTTTTCCCAAGAGGAAAATGTGAAACTTCCCTTTTAGTAAAATGGATATGTCAGAAAAATATGAACCATGTAAATGGTTTGAGTCAAATGCTGACTTCTTATGTATCTTGGGGTCTTTGGTGACATTTGTCTTTTGCAGTTGTTTCTCTTATCTTTCTGTAGGCACATTTCTGTTCTTCTTCCCATTTTCACCCATCATGGCAAAAAATATTATCTATTAGTTATTTAATGGTTGCCAAAGGTCTTGCTACTGGAGTCCACATGAGACCTCAGTGACTGAATTAGCCCCTAGGCTCTACTGACAGCATAAATACCATTTTAGGACTGACTGATCCTTGACTGAGTCAAAAATATACAGTACTGTGCAACATTTTAGGCAGAGTGTGAGGAAATGATGTAAAGTAAGAACGCTTTCAAAAATATATATTTTAATTATTTCTTTTAGTCAGATTAGAAAATGCAAAGTGAACGAACAAAAGAAAAATCTAAATCAAATCAATATTTGGTGTGACTATCCTTTGGCCTCAAACCAGCATCAGTTCTTACACTTGCATATTTTGTACACTTGCACATAGTCAGGGATATTGTAGGATTAGAGTAAGGTATATGATTAACCAATTATAACAAGTAGGTGCTAATGATCATCAATTTCATATGTAGACTGAAAAACAGTCTTTTAACTGAAACAGAAACAGCTTTGTACAAGGCTTAAAAACTGGGCGAGGAACAGCCAAACTCTACTACTAAGATGATGTTGTGGACAGTTTCATGTCACAGGTCATACACCATGGCAAGACTAAACAAAGCAACAAAATGCAAGGTAGTTATACTGCATAATGAAATTCTCTTCCAGGCAAAGATTTCAAAGCAGACTGGGGTTTCAAGATGTGCTGTTCAAGTACTTTTGAAGAAACACAAAGAAACAGGCAACTTTGAGGATTGTAGATGGCAGTGGTCAGCCAAGGAAACTTAATTCATCAAATGAAAGACACATCATGCTTATTTCCCTTCACCATCGGACGATGTCCAGCAGCTGGTGGAAGCCAGTGGGACCTAGGTACCCCTGTCTACTGTCCAGAGAAGTCTGGCCAGAAGTCGTCTTCATGGAAGAATTGTGAACAAAAAGCTATACTTCTGATATAGAATCAGCTAAGTGACTCAACTATGCATGAAAACAGGAACTGGGGGTGCAGGAAAACGGTAGCAGGTGCTCTGAACTGATGAGTCAAAATGTGAAATATTTAGCTGTAGCAGGAGGCAGTTTGTTCACTGAAGGGCTGGACAGCAGTACAATAACGAGTGTCTGCAGGCAACAGTGAAGCATGGTAGAGGTTCCTTGTAAGTTTGGGGTTGCATTTCTGCAAATGGGGTTGGATATTTGATTAGGATCAATGGTGTCCTCAATGCTGAGAAGTACTGGAGGATACTTATTCATTATGCCATACAATCAAGAGGTGTGTGAGTGGCCCTGAACTATTCTGCAGCAGGAAAACAACCCCAAACATACAGCCAATGTCATTAAGAATTATCTCCAGCGTAAAGAAGAAAATAGAAATAGTCCTGGAAGTGATGGTTTGGCCCTTACAGAGCCCTGATCTCAGCATCATCAAATCTGTCTGGGATTATATGAAGAGACAGAAGGATTTGAGGCATCTTATATCCACAGAAGATCTGTTGTTAGTTCTCGAAGATACTTGGAACAACGTACACTACATTGCCAAAAGTACCGGGACTCCTGCCCTTACACACACATTAACTTTAATGGCATCTCAGTCTTAGTCCGTAGGGTTCAATAATGAGTTGGCCTACCCTTTGCAGCTCTAACAGCTTCAACTCTTCTGGGAAGGCCGTCCACAAGGTTTAGGAGTGTGTCTAAGGGAATGTTTGACCATTCTTTAACCACTTGCCCTCCTGAGGATTTACCCCCCTTAATGACCAGGCCTCTTTTTGCTACTCGGCGCTGCACTAATTCAACTGATAATTGCGCGGTCATGCAATGCTGCACCTAAACAAAATTTATGTCCTTTTTTTCACACAAATAGAGCTTTCTTTCGGTGGTATTTGATCACCTGTGCGCTTTTTATTTTTCATGCTATAAACAAAAAAAGACCAAAAAAGAAGAAAAACGATATTTTTTACTTTCAGCTATAAAAAATATATAGTAAACTCAAAGTTAGTTATAAATTTAGGCCAAAATGTATTCTGTTACATGTTTTTGGTAAAACAAATCCCAATAAGTGTATATTGATTGCCTTGTGTGAAAGTTATAGCGCCTACAAACTATGGTATAGATACTGCAATTTATGCCATTTTTTTCTATACAGAGCTGCACTAATTTAACGGACAATTGCGCGGTCATGCAATACGGTACATAAATGAAATTTACATCCTTTTTTTCCCACAAATTGAGCTTTCTTTCGGTGGTATTTGATCGCCTGTGCGTTTTTTATTTTTTGCGCTATAAAAAAAAGGCTGACAATTTTGAAGAAAAAAAACTATATTTTGGACTTTTTGCTATAAAACATGTTCAGTAAAAAAAAATTAAAAATCAAATTTAGTCATAAATTTCTGCCAAAATGCATTCTGCAACATGTCTTTGCTACAAAAAACCCCAGTACGTGTAAATTAATTGGTTTACGTGAAAGTTATAGCGTTTACAAATGGCGGGAAAGATACTGGGATTTTTAATTTTTTTTTTATACTAATAATGGCGCGATCAGCGACTTATGGCGGTGATCAGTGACTTATGGCAGTGATCAGCGACTTATGGCGGAACTGCGGGACTGCGGTGGACATTCTGACACTGGGGGGGAACTGACTTGGGGTCACTAACATCCCCAGTGACACCAATACAATGATCAGTGCAAAAAAAAAAAACACTGACACTGTACTAATGGCACTGGGGAGGAAGGGGTTAACTTTATTATTCAGTGAAAGGGTTAACTGTGTGAGGGGAGTGTTTTACTAGGGGGCGGGGGTGTGTACTGCAGGGAACACCACTGATCGGGACAGATAAACTCTTCTGTCCCAATCAGCAAGTCAGGAGCTGTCAGGGAACTGACAGAAAGCACAGCTACTGCAGCTGTGCTCTCTGTCACTGATTGCCGCTAATCGACCGGCTGTGACCAGGGGCGGACTGACCATTGGAAACTCGGGCACTGCCTGAGGGCCCAGGTCA